AAGTTATACAAGTTCATGGTAGATCTTCATTACAACTGAAATAAGTTCGTTGAGCACATCTGCGTTCAGCAGAACTCAATAAAGAACTGGGTATTTAAAATTATTGCGCCGAATTAAGAATTTTCAATGCAATAAATACTTATGCTGCATTGAATTATTTAACGTAGTAATTTTTGAAGGTTTTAAATTAGCTCTGAGGTAAATATACGGGTCGTTCGTCCCAACAGCAATACGCTCCTGCACGTATGACAGATTCACTCTTCACCGGCCCAAAGGTGGACGAAATTGTCCATACAAAAGTGAAAAATTCATCGTTAATTAGACAAAGTTTCACTAATTTCACTGAGTGACAAATCAGCAATGGGAGAATCTTATGTCAAATAATATTATTCAATATGGTAATTCAGAAATATTTAAATTATCATAACTATCATATATAATTAAATAAATTAAAGTATTGACAGGTATAACCTTGCCACGGAAGATTCCTCAAGCCTGAAGAGGAAGCCGAAGCAGCAGTAACACTAATTAAGTATAAGACTGATTAAGTCTTAGAGTTGTGAGTTGTCTATAAGTCTGAATTGTCTATATCGTGGCTTGTCTATAAGTCTAATTAAGTTAAGAGTATTAAGCAGCAGGACTAATTAAGAATAAGACTAATTAAGTCTTAGAGTTGTGAGTTGTCTATAAGTCTGAGTTGTCTATATCGTGACTTGTCTATAAGTCTCATTAAGTTAAGAGTATTAAGCAGCAGGACTAATTAAGAATAAGACTAATTAAGTCTTAGAGTTGTGAGTTGTCTATAAGTCTAATTAAGTTAAGACTAATTAAGCATTGACAAATATAACCTTGCCACGGAAGATTCCTCAAGCCTGAAGAGGAAGCCGAAGCATCGGCAGAACTAATTAAGTATAAGGACTAATTAAGTATAAGGACTAATTAAGTAATTAAGCAGCAGGACTAATTAAGCATTGAGAGGTATAACCTTGCCACGGAAGATTCCTCAAGCCTGAAGAGGGAGCCGAAGCAGCAGTAACACTAATTAAGCGGCAGGACTAATTAAGTTAAACTAATTAAGTATTGGCAGGTATAACCTCGCAACAGAAGATTCCTCAAGCCTGAAGAGGAAGCCGAAGCAGCGGCAGGACTAATTAAGTCTTAGAGTTGTGAGTTGTCTATAAGTCTAATTAAGTTAAACTAATTAAGCATAAGCAGGTATAACCTTGCCACGGAAGATTCCTCAAGCCTGAAGAGGAAGCCGAAGCCGTAGACGAGATGTGAGGGCGGCAGGAAGTTCTTCTTGCCCCTGACCATGAAGGCGCCTACGCTTTTTAAACATCAATAGATCAAGTTAAATGAAATAACGATTAAATATTTAATGAATATTTTATTGTACAGAGAAATATCGCTTTGCTGACAACCATTACTGAACAGGTTATGCCAATCGGCATGTGATGATTTTTGCATAGACTACATTTATATTATAAATACTAATATGAAGCAGATTTTAATTTTGCTTTGCTAACTTCTGGATAATATACCATTTGATATTCATGAGCAAAATGCACCCAGGTGCAGACCAACAGGAATATACTAATTACTAAACTTATAGACAACTAATTTAATTACTAAACTAAAAATTAATTTACTAAAAAAAATAATTACTAACTACTAAACTTATAGACAACTAATTTATACAAGTTCATAGCAGTTCTTCATTACAACTGAAATAAGTTCGTTGAGCACATCTGCGTTCAGCAGAACTCAATAAGGAACTGGTCTTTAAAATTTACCATGCTGAATTAAAAATTTTCAATGAAATACTTGTGCTGCATTGAATTATTAAACGTAGTAATTTTTGAAGGCTTTAAATTAGCTCTGAGATAAATATACGGGTCGTTCGTCCCAACAGCAATACGCTCCCAAGGAATTTAAAAGCAAAGAAAAGGCCAAGAAAATTCACCATATCGACATTGAATTTTCTTAGCCTTTTCTTTGCTTTCAAATTCCTTGTGAACTTGCGATATAAGCAGACTAATGATATAAGTACTTAATACGCTCCCTGCACGTATGAAAGATTCACTCTTCACCGGGCCAAAAGCGGTCAAAATTGCCCACAAAAAATTAAAAAAATACTTCGCTATTTAGACAAAGTTTCACTAATTTATCCGAGTGAAAAAATCAGCGTTGGGAGGATCTCATGCCAAATAATATTATTCAATATGGTAATTCAGAAATATTTAAATTATCATAACTATCATATATAATTAAATAAATTAAAGTATTGACAGGTATAACATTGCCACGGAAGATTCCTGGAGTCTGAAGAGGAAGCCGAAGCAGCAGTAACACTAATTAAGCAGCAGGAGTAATTAAGTAATTAATTATAAGGACTAATTAAGTAATTAAGCGGCAGGACTAATTAAGCGGCAGGGTTATTTAAGTTGAGACTAATTAAGTATTGGCAGGATCAACCTTGCCACGGAAGATTCCTCGAGTCTGAAGAGGAAGCCGAAGCAGCAGGAACACTAATTAAGTATAAGGACTAATTAAGTAATTAAGCAGCAGGACTAATTAAGCATTAGCAGGTATAACCTTGCAACGGAAGATTCCTCAAGCCTGAAGAGGAAGCCGAAGCCGTAGACGAGATGTGAGGGCGGCAGGAAGTTCTTCTTGCCCCTGACCATGAAGGCGCCCGTGGTGAGGNAACACAGCGCCATGATGCCCGCCTGGTGCAGGGTGGAGGGGGGCACGGTACCTGCAACACAGCGCCATGATGCCCGCCTGGTGCAGGGTGGAGGCTGTCTCTTATACACATCTAGATGTGTATAAGAGACCCATGCTGATGTCACCACCTTCTCCGCCCACGCTCGGCTGGTAGACCATAAATATACTTAGTTCGCATAGATATTGAGATCATAAACAATAATTTTCTCTGCCCACGCTCGGCTGATAAACATAATAAACAAACGGCTGATAAACATAATTAGTTCGCGTGGATGTTGAGATTATAAACAATAATTATGATAGTAGTTTATTCAATTATTATATGTTATACAAACTTACATGACATCAATATGCTGGAAAAAACGATCACGAATGCTGGAGACAAAATACTTGACAAATTTGCATAGAAATTGAATTAATAAATTGCATCATCAAGACATAATACAAAGCCGAATTTATACTTGCCGTGATCACAAGTTAAACAATTCTACCATTTTCCAATACAACGAGCACCATTTTTCGCATTAACCGCTTCTACCGAGGGAAAATTAATAACTTTGAAACTAGTGATATCAATGATTTAAATAAAAGACTTGAAACATTTAGTGCTTCAGTTTTGAAAACTGCAGCGTTATCAAGATAATTAAATGTATAAATAGGGGAAAATGTTTCACTTAGTGCTTCAGTTTTGAAAACTGCAGCGTTATAAACAGTTAATTGTCTAAATAGGGGAATAGGTTTCGTTTAGGGCTTTAGTTTTGAAAACTGCAGCATGACATTTACAAAAAATGCATTCGATCTAAGATACCTGAAGTTTATATGGTGCATCAATCAATAAAAAAATGATAACCGGTATTGGGTTTAAATTAAGAGAACATCTGAATTAGTCTTCATAGTCTTGTAGAGGGCAACGTAATATCTACAAGGAATATAATATAACGTAATATCTATAACATCAATAAAATACAGAAGCAGAAGGGTTACAGATAAATAGGAATTAGGCCGCCATACACTCAAAAAGCACGCGTTGTCACTGAGAATCATCGAGGGCGATACAGCTGATTCAAAAGAAAAGTTAATTTATTCAAAAGAAAATTTAAAGAAAAATTGCCGAATGCAGTTGCTGCAATGCATGAACTAACCAAAAACTGAATAGTATGCGTTTAAAAATTACTTTTTAAATAAATCACTTCTGAAGAATCCAGTGTCTTGGTTGTTACATATGTACAGTGAATTTCTAATTTTATTTTTAAATATTAAAAAAAAAAGTTTTCAACATTTTTTTAAGATATCTAAATTTTGTAAATTTTCAAAAAATTTTCTTCTGTCAATTGATTCATGCATTGTCTCCAACTTTACGCAAGTGTGCAAAATTTCAGATCGATTTGACATGATAGGTAGAAGTGTGTCAAATATCGATAGTAAGATTTGTAGCTGACAAAATTATTTTTAATTTTTTTTTAATATTGAAAAAAAAAAAAATATTTTAATTTTTAAAATCAATTAGTATATCAATTAATTCATGCATTGTCTCCAACTTTACGCAAGTTTGCAAAATTTCAGATAGATTGGAGAGGTAGAAGTGTGTTGAATATCGATTATAAGATTTGTAGCAGACAGACAAACATAAACAAACAACAAGAAGTGAAGTTAAAGAGAAGTGTTGTAATAAGGCTGAAAAGAATGTTTAGACAGAAGAAAGCATGGAATCATATTTCGCAGTAGTATGATAATTATATCACAACAGAATGGAAGATGTCCTCGGACCCACCGACATTAAGGCTCCTGAAGACGATATATCACAACAGAATGGAAGATGTCCTCGGACCCACCTACATTAAAGCTCCTGAAGACGATATATCACAACAGAATGTAAGATGTCCTCGGACCCACCGACATTAAGGCTCCTGAAGACGATATACCACAACAGAATGTAAGATGTCCTCGGACCCACCGACATTAAGGCTCCTGAAGACGATATACCACAACAGAATGTAAGATGTCCTCGCACCCACCGACATTAAGGCTCCTGAAGACGATATACCACAACAGAATGGAAGATGTCCTCGCACCCACCGACATTAAAGCTCCTGAAGACGATATATGCGCTTCGTCAGGTGGCGCTTGACGAGGAGCTCGTTCTGCTGCTGGTCGTGCCCCGCCAGAACTGCGGCAGGGGGGCAGCGTTAGACAGGACTTACTGATACTTATTTACTGATACATTCAGAATGCATTTACTGATATTTACTGATATTTATTGATATTTACTGATATTTACTGATATCAGAATACGTTTACTGATACATTCAACCCCGCCAGAACTGCAGCAGGGGCAGCGTTAGACAGGATGTGTGTTCGGGTTCGTAACTAACAATGCAGCTTAATAACAGGAGAATATTCTACGAGTATTTAGGTTTGATATCTTCCGGGGAGCCAATATGGTCTGTCTATCGATTAAGCTTGCATTTTTTGATGTTTAGACTGATCATGGCGCTGGTCTATGGATCGTTTTCAACGGACATATCGTGGAATAACATGGCCTTTTTACTTTATATTTTCTGTCTTTGATAGCTCTTGCGAACAGGGAGGCCGTTGGCTGAACTGTAACAAAAGTTCTATGCCTTCACACAATTGTTAATCAAGCATCGAGAGTATAGTGAATAAAGATCATCTATAACAAACAATAATCATCTGGAAATAATAGTTTGGTGCATTGAAGTAACCGTTGTCAATAATTTTACTGCAAGTGCTGAAGAAGTTTTAAGTAACAGATTGACAGTAGAAAATAGGGAAGGAAAAACCATACTTAGCAATTGTAGTACAGTACCTAGTGCACTTCCATCACTTTTTTTGAAATTACATAAAGACTATGAGAGGCAGGAGCCAGCAATTTATGGTGAGTGAAGCTAGAGTATAGACCTGTATTTTGCACGATTTAATTCAAGTTTAATTTAGCTAGTAAAAAATGGCATCATTTATAAAAAATAAAAGTGGTCTAAGTTACCCCATGTTACGGTATTCTTTGATATTTAGACTAATCATGGCGATGGTCTATGGAACGTTTTCAACGGAAACATGGTGAAATCACATGGCCTTTTTTCGCTTTAAATTTTCGGTCTTTAATAGCTCTTGCGAACAGGGAAGTCATTAGCTGAAAGGGAACAAAAATTCTAAACCCATGCGGCCCGCACAATTGTTGATCAAGCATCGAGCGTACAGCGAATACAGATCATTCATAACAAACAATAATCATCTGGAAATAATAGTTTTGTGCATTGAAGTAACCATTGTCAATAATTTTACTGCAAGTGCTGAAGAAGTTTAAAGTAACAGATTGACAGTAGAAAAGAGGGAAGGAAAAACTATACTTAACAATTGTAGTGCAATAATTGTAAATTTTTATGAACTATTTAATTATTAATTGAGATAAATCATCACAAATAGTTCAAGCGCCTAAATAAATAAGAAATATTAAGATATTCGCGAATGAACTCACTAAGTTAGATCTCAGAGCACAAGGATATATAGTCAATGCAATAAAAAGAGCATTTATGATTAGTTAACTCGGTTAATTTGTTATAGGCACCAATTACATTGGTGCCTATAACAATAAATAATGAGCTACCATTATTACCATTAGTATTACTCACCGAGGTAGTTCTCTGACGAGATGAACCACAGGAACTTCTCGAACCAGTGGAACTTCCTGAGCTTGTTGATGGAGGTGGTGGTGCGAACCTCCTTCAGCGTCTGGCGCGTCTTGCGGGTCGCCGACTTGAGGGCCGCGCTAGAGGCGGCCACCGTCTTCTCGACCTTAGACACCGCCTTCCTCCGGCTGTCGTAGTACCTGCGTAGGTAATAAATAAGTCATCCTCGCACGGTCAACCTTATACCACAGGGTCAACCTTATACCACAGGGTCAACCTTATACCACAGGGTCAAACTTATACCACAGGGTCAAACATATACCACAGGGTCAACCTTATACCACAGGGTCAAACATATACCACAGGGTCAACCTTATACCACAGGTTCAAACATATACCACAGGTTCAAACATATATATACCACAAGTTCAATCTTATACCACAGGTTCAATCTTATGTACCTATACCACAGGTTCAAACTTATACCACAGGTACCACCTTATACCACGGGTTCAACCTAGTATTCCAGGTTCAAACATATACCACAGGTACCACCTTATACCACGGGTTCAACCTAGTATTCCAGGTTCAAACTTATACCACAGGTACCATATTATACCACGGGTTCAACCTAGTATTCCAGGTTCAAACATATACCATGTATAAATGACCAACTCGCCAGAAAAATAGCCGCGGCAGGTAGCAAGCAAAACGCCAGTAGCCAGTTAATTTTACACTGATCTTCTTTTGTTAATTGAACATGCTATATGGTCTTCATAACTGTATATTAAAAGTTATATTGTCTACACAAGACACTTTACAATGCAGAGCCATAACCGAATCAGGGTCAGTAGTTACTAGCTTAATATAGGCCAGGGTCAGTACTATCAAAAAACGGTTAAATGCACGTAGCGGCATAACTACATGTAGCGGCCTAATAACGCGTAGCGGCCTAATAACGCGTAGCGGCCTAATAACGCGTAGCGGCCTAATCCTGTCTCTTATACACATCTAGATGTGTATAAGAGACAGTTACAATGCAGAGCCATAACCGAATCAGGGTCAGTAGTTACTAGCTTAATATAGGCCAGGGTCAGTACTATCAAAAAACGGTTAAATGCACGTAGCGGCATAACTAGATGTAGCGGCCTAATAACGCGTAGCGGCCTAATAACGCGTAGCGGCCTAATAACGCGTAGCGGCCTTGATTCGAGCGTCGGTAATTCCGACTTAAATCATATCAAACTGTATAGAACGCAGTCTGTGGGTGAATTAATTCGTAAATTAAGTTATGAAAGTTGGAGACTTAGAGTAAAGTGTTGAGAAGGCTACCGGAATTTGGGTTGAACTGTGCAAAACTTGTATAAGGTGCTGTTGTTCTCGAGACCGTGAGAGCGAGGGTTGTTTATAAATTGGAATGGCGAGGGCGTAACGGTGCGCAACGGCTGCGCATAAAAGGACTTAAAAATTGTCGCCAAAGGCTGTTCTGCGGAGGTGACCATCACGCAAGCACGGTCAGCAGTCGGCGGACTTTGTATAACGGCCGTGGCCGTGAGGCCGGCGGTTTTGCCGTTTTTCGAACACTGACGGTCCCGAGAAACCTAGACTTATCGAGGCAACTACGATTTNTACACGTAGCGGCCCAAGTACACGTAGCGGCCCAAGTACACGTAGCGGCCCAAGTACACGTAGCGGCTCAAGTACACGTAGCGGCCTAAGTACACATAGCGGCCTAAGTACACGCAGCAAGACAATAATAAAGCGACTAGGGCGACGGACTTGCGGGCGTTAGCGAAGGCGCTGAGGTCGAGGTCGATATCGACGGGCGTGGGGCGCAGCGTGTCGCTGTCGTGGCCCTCGAGACGCTCCTCGTCACTGTCCAGCAGCGCGTCGTCCTCGTCCTGGCAGTACGGGTCACTGCACAGCAACATATATAGTAATAATATACCTACTATAATAATTAGAAATATTAACTTATTGCAATAACTTTATCTATGGACCGCCAATTCGTTTAAAAATTTTTAAGTACATCATTCTTACCTCAAGGCCACTGCACACACCTGCTTCACATAGCATAATAAAATTTCAAGTAATCAGCCAATAATCCAACAGTTTTAGAACATTTCATTCTTCTGTTTTCACTACCAAGATCACCGCTGACTGCCATAAAAATTCGGCACTAAATTTGCACTATAAGGTGTTCCGGACACCTTATAGTTATGGACACCTTATAGTTCCGGACACCTTATTAAAACAATCGCTGCTAATATTTGCTGCTAATATTATCGGCTTATACTATCCCCGCGTAGATACTCTAATTCTTGATGGTGCAAAAAGTGATGTTTGTTCGGATGAAAAAGCACATAAGAAGTCCCAGCTCGTCCGGACGATGCTTATCCACCCCTACGACAATCAAAGGGCAGTAAAAGAATCCGAAGTATAACTTTACCTTATAGAGTATCACAACTTTCTATGGTGCACCTACCGGTAAGTCACTGTGTACAATAAAGAATGATACAGTTGTCCTATTTAGGTCCAGTGATTGGCTGACGGAGTTATGGTTCAAAATAATGATCTGAAGACCTGAGCATGATGGTGAAGGAGTTTGTCTCGAGGCTTAAAGACTTGATGGCGAGGGCGACAGGCTCGTTGCTCTCCCTGGCCTCCTGCAGCAGCTCCTCGATGTCGCGCCACGACAGCTGGTGCGCCAGCGCCGCCCGTAGCTGCACGATAGCCGCCTCCACCAGCGCCTGGTTCAGCTCTGCCCAACGCAGGGTATGGTTAGGACTTATATAAATGCTTAGGGGACATATAAATGCTTAAGGGACATATAAATGCTTAGGGGACATATCAATGCTTAGGGGACATATAAATGCTTAGGGGACATATCAATGCTTAGGGGACATATAAATGCTTAGGGGACATATAAATGCTTAGGGGACATATCAATGCTTAGGGGACATATAAATGCTTAGGGGACATATCAATGCTTAGGGGACATATCAATGCTTATGGAATCAATCCTCTATCTCAAAAAATAAATAGTAGGAGTAGGGGAGAGATTCCATCTCAACAAACACGTAGTAAACAGTAAACTGTTTGCTAACTATGAACTTTCTATCTAAAACACAATAATTAGATTGAATTTACACTAATATTGTAAGACAGCGCACACATTGGCTGTAGCTAACAATGATTTTTCACTAAGAAGTGCAATCACAAGATTGATTTTACCCAATTCCATTGAGACAACGCCCGCCTTGCCCGTAGCTAAATACAAGATATCTCTCTTCAGTAAAACAATTGTGTTGATTTTATGGTAATGCTGCAGCTAGCCAAGATATCTCTCGTAAATAAAATAATTAAATTGATTTGATCGTGATCCTGGAGCTAGTTAAGATATCTCTCCCAAATAAAATAATTGATATCATGGTAATCCTGCAGCTACCTAAGATATCTCTCATAAATCGCGATTTCACCGTACGATTTCACCGTAATCCTGGAGCTAGTTAAGACATCTCTCGTAAATAAAATAATTATATTAATTGTAAGGTAATCCAGCCGCTACCTAAAATATCTCTCGTAAATCGCGATTTCACCATAATCCTGGAGATAAGAATCCTAATCTCCCCATAATCCATAATCCTAAGATATCTCTCGTAAATCAAATAATTAAATTGATTTCACCGTAATCCAGCAGGTACCTATGAGCTGGCCCCGCTGGGTATCGCTCTGCTGGAGGCGCTGCAGGGCGCTGACGCGGCTGGCGTGGTCAGAGCGCCCCTAACCTAACCTAACCTACCTAACCTAATCCAGCAGGTACCTATGAGCTGGCCCCGCTGCGTGTCGCTCTGCTGGAGACGCTGTAGGGCGCTGACTACCTAATCCAGCAGGTACCTATGAGCTGGCCCCGCTGTGTGTCGCTCTGCTGGAGACGCTGTAGGGCGCTGACGCGGCTGGCGTGGTCAGAGCGCACGTTGTCGAGCTTCTTGAGGGCGTCGCGCTCCTGCTGCACCGCGCGTGACTGTAGCTTCTGAGACTCTATTTGTTGGAAGAACTCGTCCACAGCTGAGCCAGGGAGACAAGTGTTATCTATAGTGTGTTATCAAGACTGTTAAATATGAAGGAGACAAGCGTTACCTATCAAGAATGTTAAATATAATATAAGAACTTATAAGAAATGGTGAACTTTTTGGCTATTTTCTTTACTTTTAAATTCCTGGGATATATAATCCCCTTCTGGGACTCTATTTGCTGGAAGAACTCGTCCACAGCTGAGCCAGGGGAGACAAGTGTTATCTATAATGTGTTATCAAGACTGTTAAATATGATCCCCTAGAGGGAGACAAGTGTTATCAAGACTGTGAAATATGATCCCCTAGAGGGAGACAAGTGTTATCAAGACTGTTAAATATGATCCCCTAGAGGGAGACAAGCGTTATCGAGACTGTTAAATGTGTAAATAAGGGGACATGTTTCGTTTAGAGCTTCAGTTTTGAAAACTATAGCATGAAATTTAAAAATATAACTCAGTACTCATTGCAGTGAGTGACAGATAGCGTATTTATTCGTCGGTAAAAACGTGAAGTCACGGACGGACGGATGGACAGACATGGCGAGCACAATAGCGCTTTTTTCCATAAATGAGAAAATGCGCTATAAAGCATCCGATTTAAGATACCTGAAGTTTATAAGGTACATCAATCAATAAAAAATTGATCACTGGCATTGGATTTAAATTATGAGAACATCATAATTAGTCGTCGTATTTTTGTAGAAAGCAACGTAATATCTACAACATAATACAGCACTGAAACAGAGAAGCAGAAGGGTTACAGGACCTATACTTTCAAAAAAAGTTAAGAGATCGTAAGTTCATCAGCCAATCATTGACGGCTTTTCGAGCAAAATCCACCAATCATAGACAAGAAAATAGAGCGTAAGTACTTACGTTCACTATACTTTCAAAAAAAGTTAAGAGATCGTAAGTTCATCAGCCAATCATTGACGGCTTTTCGAGCAAAATCCACCAATCATAGACAAGGAAATAGAGCGTAAGTACTCACGTTCACTTAGCGAGTTTTGAAGGTATGGCCCCTGGTAAATAGAAATGACAAAAAGGCCGCCATGCACCCAAAAACACGCGTAGTCACTGAGAATAATCAAGGGCGCTATCAAGACAGCGGATTCAAAAGCAAATTTTAAGAATTGCTGAATGCAGTTGCCGCAATGCATGAACCAACCAGAACTGAAAAAGGCTGAGAAGACAGTATAGACAGGAGAAAGCATGAAATCATTTTTCGTAGTAGATGACGATAAATAGAAACACATGTCAGCTGTTAAAATCAATGCATTACTATACATTCATGTAACAACTACAGTCATCCTAAAAATTGACAGCGCACGGAATGCATTATTTTACATTACATACATTTTTGCAAGTCATACATTACATGTACTAGGTATTGCAATGCAATTAAGCTATAAAGCTATAGCTTAAGCTATTTTTAAGCTATAGCTATAGGTACTCTCAGACTCTCCCTCTGCCACATTGTAGAAAATTATTCTTTCGCTCCATCCCTCTGCTCCATCGTAGTACTTCAGGCCCTCGTAGATACTCTTCAGACCCTTCGTACTTCAGACCCTTCGTACTTCAGACCCTTCATACTTCAGACCCTTCGTACTTCAGACCCTTCGTACTTCAGACCCTTCGTACTTCAGACCCTTCGTACTTCAGACCCTTCGTACTTCAGACCCTTCGTACTTCAGACCCTTCGTACTTCAGACCCTTCGTACTTCAGACCCTTCGTACTTCAGACCCTTCGTACTTCAGACCCTTCNAAGATGTCCTCGCACCCACCGACATTAAAGCTCCTGAAGACGATATACCACAACAGAATGTAAGATGTCCTCGCACCCACCGACATTAAAGCTCCTGAAGACGATATACCACAACAGAATGGAAGATGTCCTCGCACCCACCGACATTAAAGCTCCTGAAGACGATATACCACAACAGAATGGAAGATGTCCTCGCACCCACCGACATTAAAGCTCCTGAAGACGATATATCACAACAGAATGGAAGATGTCCTCGCACCCACCGACATTAAAGCTCCTGAAGACGAGGTGTGGTCGGGTGGTGTGCTGCGCGAACAGCCTGGGGTGGAACTCATCATAGAGCAGCACGGTCTCTGTCCCGGCCTCGGCATCCACTCCACTGCGCCTCGTCTCTGAACGCTGCACTATAACGCCCTGTTGACAGTTATACAATATACAACTGATATACAATATACAATATCTACAGGTTACATCTCGAAAATACAGGTATACGCAGGTATACTACAGGTTACAGGTTGAAAATACAGGTATACTACAGGTTACATCTCGATATACAATATCTACAGTTGTATATATACCTACAATATACAACTGATATACAATATACAACATCTACAATATACAATATACAACTAATGATATTTGTGTTAACTGTTATACATTATAAAACACATATATCAGTAGTTGTGCACTATAACGCCCTGTTGACGTGTAAACTGTTATACATCACTACATAATCTTTCTGAAAATCATTAAATATTAGGTTTTGTAGAAAAGCAAAATATATGAGAACTTGAAATTATGATAAAGTTGAGCCCATTGCCGTGTTTAGGATATCAGAGTCAATAGCAGGTAGCAGACTACGGGTAAAATTTGTATGTATGACTGTACTGACAGAGCTGACACATGAGGGTGCTGACAGCAACATGGAGGGGCTTGATTAGTGTAGAAATTAGTAGGGATCGCAACTCTATTTGTATTATAGATTCAAGCCAACCGCCAGAGGGCGGGTCTACACGATAGAGCTGTACTATATAAAGAAGAGTCGCTGTAGTGAGAGTCAGTCCAAGCTTAGAGCCAGGCGAGCGCGGAATCAGTTCGAGCGCGGAGGATCTTGCAGCATTTCGTTTGGAACAGTGATTGTTAGGAAACCAATAGTGGTGTTCGAGTCACGTCGTCAAATTCAGACAACATCCGTTGGCCGCGCTGTATATCTCCAAAGGAAAACAACGACGAAGAAACAAGGATTCGACATAGTGAAATCCGAGGAGATACTACCAAATATCCGCTGAGATAGAATTTTACTCCGGAATATCAGCATCTACAGAAGTAACCAAGACCGCATCCCCCCCAAAGAACAACGACCACCAGAGAACGCGCATCGAAGAATTTCGATTGCAAATCTTCGTAGGCACTTTAGCCTTGGAAAACTCGCCGTCCGCTGCGCCGTGGCTCCACCGTCATCCACAAATTCCGGTGATGTAATTCGGGGAAACTGTTAGAAATTGTCTTATTTTCCGTAGAGACGGGGGTCATAGAAATGAAATAACCGGGTAGATATTGGTCGGGATAGGATCCTCTTGAAATAATACTATTTCTGTGTAATTCTGTCTGAGCTTCATATTTTTGTGTGAGAGTATAGGACTATATCCCGTGTAAATCGTGTTTTAGCTTCGCCGACTTGCCATTTGTATTAGCCTAGGTTCTCCTATAATATAGTAACTATAGAATTTATCTTCATGTGTTATCATTGCCCCCTTTGCTAACTAGTTCGCTGTTTTGACATGAGAACCGTATATCATCGTGCCGCTTACCGCCACTCTGGCCAAGCAACCTGACCAATTTCTAATTTGTTTCAGAGGATAGAAAATCGATGAATTAACCCAATAAATTTAGGACGAAAAGTTGTATTTCAGATTTAATCTCGTGGCAAGTTAGAAATGATTAAAGATCTCGAAAGAGGTAAATAATAGTGAGAATTAGGAAGTCTTCAACTTTATAACAAAACTATTCACAAGGCAAACTATTCAGGCTAACAGTAACATGGATGGTAAGCAAGTAACATCCAAGCAGTCACTTAGTAACTTCGTGAGTTACACTTACCTTGTTGTGGCTGGAGTTCGATGAAAATATATTTAGGGTAAACTTTATATTTATTTGCCTCATATTGATGGGATCTCATTGCCCATATTGATTGGATCAAGACTTGTCAACTATTTTCAGCGATTTTATACGTACATTTTCGCAACTGTGCACATAAATTATAATTTAAGAATAATTTATAATTTCCCAGCTAGCAGAGTGTGATTATTTCACATAAAGATTGCCTCTTTCAATCTTATGTATACCACAGGGTCAAACTTATACCACAGGTACAATCTTATAGCACAGGTTCAAGCTAGTATTCCAGGTTCAAACATATACCATATATAAATGACCAACTCGCAAGAAAAATACCCGCGGCAGGTAGCAAGCAAAACACAAACAGCCAGTTAATTTTCCACCGATCTTCTTTTGTTAATTGAACATGCTAAATGGTCTTCATAACTGTATATTAAAAGTTATATTGTCTACACACGACACTTTACAATGCAGAGCCATAACCGAATCAGGATCAGTAGTTACTAGCTTAATACTATAGAGGCCAGGGTCAGTACTATCAAAACACGTTTAAATGCACGTAGCGGCATAACTACATGTAGCGGCCTAACGCGTAGCGGCCTAATAACGCGTAGCGGCCTAATAACGCGTAGCGGCCTAATAACGTAATGTGCAGAGGCCTAATAATGTGTAGCGGTCTTGATTCGAGCGTCGGTAATTCTGACTTAAATTATATCAAACTGTATAGAACGCAGTCTGTGGGTGAATTAATTCGTAAATTAAGTTATGAAAGTTGGAGACTTAGAGTAAAGTGTTGAGAAGGCTACAGGAATTTGGGTTGAACTGTGCAAAACTTGTATAAGGTGCTGTTGTTCTCGAGACCGTGAGAGCGAGGGTTGTTTATAAATTGGAATGGCGAGGGC